TTTTTTTTTTTTTTGCAAAAGGAGCTGCCAGGTTTTCTCCATTTTTCCTCTCATGTACTGTTTAAAATCAACCTTTTCTTCCAGTAGTATCATGCCTAGAAAGAAACGCCTATTCCAAACAAAGACTACAAACAGAAATTCAATGTATAATCTGTACTTTTAAAATTGTTTCACTCATCCAGAGTTCTGGTACAGTGTGAAGTAGGAATTAAATTTTCTTTGCAAATATCTACCTGGTTTTCTCCATACTTAAATAATCCATCTTCTTTTCACTGATCTGGAGTGCCACACTTTTTTTTTTAAACAGCACATTTATTATGTGAATTTTTTACAATACAAACAAGAAATACAGAAATGGAATAGATAAATACAGCCAGATGTAGAACAGTGACTACTTTTTCTTTCTCCTTAAGAGGCTATGATTTACATATCTAGTAAAAGAGAGTCTGCATACAGGTAGAAACAGGTTAGTGATTAGCTTTGCAATTTGCCTAGAAATGATCTATAAATGCATTTCTCCCTACTACTTACTATAAAGTGTAAAAAGGAAGTTAAAGTCTGTCAGTTCCTAGTATGTGAGAGACGCTATATTCTAACAATCTGTAGAAAATTTCTAAATTGTTATTAAAAATTAAGCAGTAATGAGATTCTACCTAAAGGGCACTGAGAATACATTTTTTTTTTTTTGAGAGGTTTTTTTGCTATAGGGTGTGTGTGCCCGCCAGACAGACAGAGACATAGAGACAGAAAGTGAGAAATCATCCCCCAGGGGGGATGGTCACACCGTAATCCCTTCTCCTCCATTCTCCTCTCGGGATCTTGGGCACGCACGAACACGCGCCTGGCATGAGTTTACGCCACTGGTCTGGGACTCGAAAAGCGGTCACATATGTGGGAGTCCAGCGACATAGCCATTGCGCTAACTGCTGGTCCCTAGAACTGTTACTTTCTAAGTACACAATATCCTAGACAATTCAAGGCATCTTAATCTTCATCAAGAACAAAAATCAAATTTTTGTCATGCTCTTAAATCCATCATTATGGATAGAGCTGGTGCAAATTAATCAAATGTATCCAATACTGATGTCCAAGCTGGCGTATTGGCAACTGGTGGTCAATGGAGAATTAAAAGATCTTCCCTTTCTTCTTGTTCTTCTCCAAAGTTAAGGGTTTTGCTGTTCTACAATACGTCGCTGAGCTTCCCAGTTTGCTTTCTTGTTCTCAAACTGGCGTTCTTTCTCTAATTCTTTGTGCTGTGCTTCCAAATTCTTTTTCATTTGCTCGTGGTGCTGCTGGAGCTCAGCTTCCAAGTCCTTCAGCTTCTGCACCTTCTCCTTGACCTTGATCTTGAACACCTGGCTCCATCTTCATCTTAGCCATATGCTTCCTCCTCTCTTCCTCCATCTGGGCTAAGGAGCTCTGAGGAGCTGCCCTTTGTTCTCGTTATTGTCATTGTAAACCAAGCTGCCAGCCTATCCTACTCCTGCAAGTTCTCATAACACCCGTTGTTAGTGACATCTTCTGAGTCCTGCATATGTGTCCTCATCAACGTGTTTCCTAGAATGGTAAATCACGAGGCTCACCATTTTCGACTTCAGCAACACCCAAGGGTACAGCCTTCCTCAGACTCTTTTGCCATTCACTGTAAGGATAGTGTTACTACCTACCATGGCAAGAGGTACAGTCCTTTATCTTTTTTTCTTGCAGAGGTTTTTGCTATAGGGCGTGTGCGCTCGCCAGGGACAGAGACACAGAAAGTGAGAAATTACCCCCCAGGGAGGGTGACCATGCTGCAATCCCTTCTCCTCCATTCTCCTCTTGGGCACACACGCACATTCGCCCAGCGTGAGTCTAAGCCACTGGGTCCGGGGACGTGAACCGCAGTGGACTACATGGGAGTCCAGCGACATAAGCCATTATGCCAACTGCTGGTCTTACAGTCATTTATCTTTTTAAGAAACTTACTTTCTTCATTGTTTCTAGAAATTCATACATTTTATGTTCTTGAATTCCTTTCATTATCTGTTTTATACACCGTTGGCATTCCTCTGGTTTGAGTGCACCTGCTTTGGCAATAAGTTGGATGCTATTCATTTTTTATGTAAATACTTCACCAATTCATCCAACACCCGTGTCCTGAAGGAACAATGTAGACTGCACCCCGCTATCAGGTATCTGATGGTGGTTCACTCGCCACTCTGCATTTAGGCAGTCCTCAGATTTACTCTCAATGTAGTCAGTGACAGGCTGCCAGTAATTATCATTCACTGCATCTCCAAATCCTGAGTACTCACTATTGTGAGCAGCAACTGAACCCCACCTTCTTTAATGAACACTTTGGACTGTTCTACCTGTGCGGTCTTTTTGTTACGGGGAGTACACTGACACTCTGAAGAACACACATCTGTGAGGAAGAGTTCGATTAATGTTGATTTTCCCTGTCCAGATTCACCTAATACCATAAATGTGAACTCAAACCTTCTCTTAGCACTGACCTCCGGCACAGTTGATTTGAGAGGCTGGATCTTGGCTACCGTAGCGGTGCAGTCGCTGCTTCTTTCTTTGGCAGCAACGGAGGTGGAGGTGGTGGTGGATCTCCACTGACCACATACCTTCCCCCGCGGTTTTTCTTTTTAAAGTTTTTTTTTTTTTGTTTTTTGTCACAGGATACATGTGCTAGCTGGAGAGGGAGGAAAAGTGAGAAATCACCCTCTGGGGGTAGGGCCACATACACACTCCTGGTGTGATTTTCAAACCACCAGGTCTAGGACTTGAAATGCAGTCAGGTGGGAATCTAGGCTTTAACCACCATGCCACCTGCTGACCCATCACACACTAGTTTTCATGCTTAGTTGTTTCTGGGTTTAACTATACTCTGCTCCCCACTGCCCCAGGTTTTTGCAATAGGGTTTGTGCACTAGCCAGAGAGGGAAAGTGAGACACCCCTCCCACCTCCAACCGAGGATGGTCACACCGCAATCCCTTCTCCACTCTATCGGGATATGGGGCACACACACACACACCTATGCTCACACTCACATGTCATTTTCAGGCTGCCAGGTCCAGATCTTGAACCACAGTCGGTCACGTAGAAATCCAGTGCCTTAACCACCATACCACATGTCCCAAGTTTCTTTGTAAGTGGCTGATTCAGTTAATTCCTTCAAACATACTATTAAAGATGTCAGATTGGGACTCCGTTGCTCTCATTACCACCTTTTTATTTACTCATTATTTTTACAATTTGACTTGCATTAACTTTTCTGAAACTCAAGTATTATCTAGTTACAAGAAAAATTAACTAATCTCTTCGGGATGTTAAGTGTCTAACTTTAGATACTCTTAACTGGTAACTATTTAGGGAGGTAATCTACAAGCTTCTATTTTTGTTTAAATTTTGCCAGGGGGCCTGCATGCTCCCCAGAGACAGGGAGAAAGTGAAAAGCATCCATGGGGAATAATTATGCTATAACCCCTTCGCTGATTCTCCCTCCTTGTGACTTTGGCCCTTGCTGGTGTTTTCTCCAAGCTGCTGAGTCTGAGACTGAACCACAGGACCAGCCATACGGGATCCTGATGGCCTAACACCCTGGCCCTCAAATTCATCAAACAATTCCATTGGGAAGCAAAACCATTTTCCTTTCTTAGCCTGGGGGGAATGAAAGCCCAAAGTCTCTAGAAACTCAGAAAAAGACAGCATTGTCTGATTTTTCCATAGCCATATAAAAATCAGTGACTTCCACTTCATTAACGGGGAAGTAAATTCTCACTTTTTCTTGATCGGTGTATCAGAATACGTTTCTCACTCGATTCTTAGCCTTCAATGTTAGAGTGTTTCAAAGTAGTCCCCGTCTTTCCATTTTTCCAGTCCTTAGATGATGTTCTTGTTTCATGGTTTTAAACATCCTTTCTACACTGACGCATTTTCCATCTTCAACTAGGTAAACTACCACTCCAACTGCCTTTTCCTCATGGATTTCTCAACTAAACATCAGATATTTCCTATCCCCAATAACAAGGATTTCCATCTTTCTAGCTGCTCAAGCCAGGCCCAAAGTCTTAAGAACCTCCTAATTCTTCCTTAACAACTCATATTCAACCCTGGCAAATTTTATCAGTCCTTCCTTAAAACATACACAGATATGCAACCACCACCTTTTAACCTTCCTCTCCTATAGCCATAATTCAGGCTGCCAAGAATTCACCCCTGCCTGTGAGAGCATTCCCTAAGTGGTTTTCCTGCCTCTACCCTTGTGGTATGCATATTTGTTCTATTAGCACTTTCCTACCCCAAAACCTAATGTAGTCCCTGACTTCAAGGTTAAATTGACCAATACCACCAGCCTTCAGTTACCTCTTAGATCTAATCTATCAACACAACTTTCCTTCCTTGCTCTGAGTGTTCAGGTTACATCCTTTTCATCTGCCATACCTACATTATGGATGGTCTCAGAGAATGTAAGCTGTTTCCTTTACCTGAAATACATGTCCAGGAGTTGGTTCACTTCTTCAGTGACTCTCAGACCTTCCTCTATTTCCTCTTACCCCATTTAAAAATAGCAAGCCTTCCCCACCAACACACTACCTTCCATTTCCTGCTTTTTCTCATCAGTGCTTGTAATTATCTATGTAACACTATTTTACCATGTCTCTCTACAGCATGTAAGCTCCAAGAGACAGAAAATAGTACCTGCAAAACAAAAACAAAAAACTAGACTCCTAACTAAATACATAACATACTTTCAAGTCACAAGGTATAGCAAATGTTAACTCATCACTTAAGCTGTTACCGGGTGTGAATGTTAGCGCAACTGAAAGGTAATCTGACCACTACCACTTCCTTCAGACCTAGCAATTTTACCAAGAAATCATTGCAGATGTATACAAACATGGGGACACCCATCACAGCTTTATTTCTAACAGTGAAAAAAACCCAGCAATAATGCTTGAATGTCCGACAACAGTAAGACACTTACAGATATTACTCATAGAATACTATGTAGTGATAATGTCAATACATGTTTATTAACTGGTAAATTTGGACATGTACACTGACTAAAAACAAAATGCAAATTCACCATATATTTATATGTGCACAGAAATATCAACAGTTGTTTTATTACTGGGAAGTTATATTAAAATTCATTTAAAATTGTTTACTTTTCTTGAATTGCTTAATACTTTAAAAAAAAGGCAACATAGATCTTCTAAAGTAATACTTAAAATTGAGATTTTCAGAATAAGATTGCATAACATGAATAGAAATGAATTAATGACTGGCACAAAAGCCTAAAGAGGATTAGATAGCAATTACTCTTATTTTTACTCCATTATTATTCTGTATTATATCATTATTGCCAACGGTTTAGAAATTTCATTAAGTTTTCAAATTGTGATTTGCAAACTACATCCAACTAAATACTGGAGATGTTTCAGGATGTTCTTAAAACTTTTACAAGGTACCCCAAACTCAGAGATTAAGGATTACAAAATAAGTCACAACTTCGGCAATTTCTGTATTCAACTGTATAGTGCAGAGGAAATCCAAACTCAGAGCTGTGTAGTTCCAACTGCCACTTTTCCAATCATTCCTAAAGAATCACACGAAATGTAAAGTTTTGGCGTCAAATTAATTATGAACTCATTATAAGATAAAAAAATATCTGGCAGTTTTTAAAAAAATTAACAAACCAGCCCCACTCATTTATCATTAACATGGTACAAATCAGAGCTAAGAAAAAAAAAAAAAACACTGCATAAGACAAAGGCTTCCTTTAATTAAAACGTTAAAGACTCATGAAACATAAGTTTTAAGCTTCAGGGAGAAAGCTTAAGAATGCAGTAGCAAGTTAGACTCTAGAACTAACAACCAGGTTAATTAAGTTTTTCTTAAAAGTGTGTTTTATTAAATGGTACTCAAATTCCATTTTCCCCCATTATCAGTAAAGGTATCTCAAATGTCTGCATGGGCAGGTACTGAAAGAAACCTGTCTCATTTCTCATAAAAGTTTTTGGGCTGCACTCATCTAATCCTAGGCCCATCCTGTCCTAGGATTCTAGACCACAAATTAAGACTATTTGACAGGTATGGACACATATTCTCTGAAACATTAATACATTTGATTTTAACATGTAACTATTATTAATGGATTACAACCCAAAAAAATTATGTCAATTTCTAAAATTACATGTCTAAATTTTTTGAAGAATCAACATGTCTTAAGATATACAATCATATGCACTCATGCAATCTAGCCATGTTTTATATTCACAACTTCACCTTTTTGCAGAGCAGTATCTTTCCCATCCTCAAACAGGTGAGCCTAGAATCAACTGTTAAAAAATTTATCAATAGGCATTAAGGTAAAATGTGAGAGGAATATAGGTTTTATTACATTATATAAGACTCAATTAAAAAAAGTTATACAATAAAAAGTGCATGAATGTATATGCTAAGATAAAATAAAAAACTTAAAAAACAAACAAACAAACAAGAGGGGCCAGTCATAGTGTTAACAGGGGTAGCGTAAAGTTCTGCCAAGGCTGGACCACATGGGAAGGCCTCAGGTTCTCCTTGTGCATGCTGGGTATGTGTGTAAGTGCCCAGATCCTGGCTGCCTGAAGCCAGGGGTGGATTATGGTGTGAAGACACTGCTGGGAGTGCCTATCTGTCTCATGAAAGAAAGAAAGAAACAAAAGGCCTATGTGGATTCAAAATGGGAAAGGAGAAGAAAGAAAGCTCATTTCCTTTCATTAAAAATCAGAGTGCAACATCTATAGTTAAACAACTTTATTAACATAGTCAAGCAGTGATTAACATTCACATCTATTATGTCACATCATACAAATGTAAATACAAAATTACTACAGTACAATATATATTCTCTGCATGATCCAAAATATTTGGTGGCCCCAAAAAACTCTCTTTAAAATTCAGCAGCTTATCAAAAATTAAAACCGTATTCTATTTAAAATGAAGATCTGTTAGCACAGAGTTAGACTTCAGGAAATACCAATTTAGTACAGTTTGAGAAGTTGCAGGAGGATATGTTTGAAGGACACATTCTAACATAGTGTGGTAGTATAGGAAACATCAGATTTAAAGCTTTTAAGCATAACTCATACAACCTAAGTTGTCAGCAGAAAGATCCAGTTTTTTATAACTAAAGCTAACACTACTAAATTATTGCACCCAATGTTAACATGAATATTAAGTGTAAAACTGTTTTATAATATGAAGTGAAGTCATTTACCACATTTAAAGATCTCTTCTCACAAGATGATAATCTATTGAGTAAAATGAATTATATAGTATTGTCTAATTATTATCTCCATAAAAACCACCCTAGCTTAATTTGGTTATATGTCCACACAAAGGATAACAACAGTAATGAGGAAAGTACAGCTGAACCCTTTAAGAAGCTTATATCAGGAGGGGACCAACTTTGCCTTATAGGCCAATGATGTTATCATGGGCTTTCAGAAAGAAAATTAGGCCTGTAAAACAGCTACTTCTGCATAATACCAAGCCATGGTATAAGAAGACTCTATCATACATAAACAAAACTCGTAATATAAGGGAACTACTGGTTTTCTAATTAGTGATATACTGCTTGGCAAATAGAGTTGGCCTGGTTTTAAAATGTACAAGAGGTTTAAAAAATTATCATGTTTAACTTCCCTCAAACTCATGCATACATTCAACTATTCTGCATTTTTTAAAAAAAAGAAAACAATACATTCTGGGATACAAACCATGATACACAGTAGCTGGAAATTCAAATGTACTTAAAAAAAAATAAAATTCAGAATAATCAAGCAAAAGGATAAAGAATTATCTACATAGAAGTAGATGCCAACAGGGGAAAGGCCTATGTAAAACTAAAAAAGGAAAAAAAAAAAAAAAAAAAAAGCAAGTCACCTGTGAAGTATTCAGGTGAATTAAACAAACTTGGGTAAAATTTAAATTTAAAGAGGCATTAGAAGCATCTCCATATGTAATACAGTATGAAATGCACTAAGTCGGTATACTATTATATTGCATGGTATTAACACTAGATAATATTAACACAGCTCATTATTTATCTGATTTTTCATCTAGATTATCCCAGGCCTTTAGCTATCCAAAAGACCACAGTCTTCTTAAATATTCCAAAGCCTACACTTCATTAACAGTAATAGTAGCAATAGTTAGTGTTTTCCCCTTGTATTATTTGCAAAAATAATTAAATAAGCAAAGTTGTGTTTTAAAGTACTACCAAAGAAAGGATTTAAATCGCAGTTATGCATGATACACTCTTCTCTTGGGAAGAATGTTTTTGCACCGTTATCTGTTAATACATTCAATATGAATAATATAGATTAACTATAGGAAGCAAAAAAAAAAAAAAATCACCTTTCTCCTCATGGCAAAGGACTTAAATTTAGACAAGAGGGGCTTAGGACATAATTAGTTTAATTCTGGCATTTTAGTCATGCAGGGCAATTTTATACTGGGGGAAAATTTTTCCACTTTCCTATTTTTGAGGATGTGGAAAAAAGGAGGACCAAATCTAACTCACTTTCAGGTAAATCTGCATGAAAAAGGCTTGTCAGGACGGCTTTATACCACCCCAGTCTGCTAGAATAACTGGAAAAATCAGACTAAATAGGAAGGTTCTTAATGAAATACACTAAAAAATAAAGTATATGACCCCTTTATAAGCATGTCACCAAAGCAAAAATGATACAAGAGTATTCACCTGAGATAAAACTTGTATCTGAATATTTATAACTGAGTAGACAAAGCTTTACAAGAGGAAAGTCAGTTGAAATTATTTTAAAATATACATCTGATTCTATTTTACAATATATGCAATTTAAGCAATTCAGATCAATGAAAAAGTCTTAACCAAAAAAATCACAGTGTTTATCAATATGTTAATTACAAAATGTATGCTACTTGTTTTGTTTTTAAGATGTAATAATGGCTTGGTTGAGTGTTTAAAATCTATTCTGAATTCTAACTTGCGTAACAAAATCAAGTAGCAACAATGTAAAGCATCAGAACTGGCTCTTAAAGATTATTTACATGTTGATTACCTGGGAAATAACCAACCAAAAAACATATAAAAGTGATTTTTTTTTTTACACAGTATGAAGTCATTAAAGAGATTAGACAATACAAAAGCAAAATTCTTTCCAGAAAGAAGAAAAAAAAAAAGACTATCTGTGGCACTAAGTTCACTTGCTAATGGACCGTAACATGAAACTGCCAAACATGCACTTAAATTATATTAAATACACTTTCTGTTTCCAACTTAGGTTGATCAGCAGCTTTTGTTCTGTTAGAATCCTTCAAAGAGAGAAGCTCGAACAGGAAAAAGAAGGCATATATAAAACAGTAAACACTGACCTCCTGAGGTTCCTACAACATAAAAATATTCAAGTAGAAAATCTACATCACTTAGCAGCGGCTATTTCTGTAGTCGAGCACACTAACAGCATTTTAGTGTGTAAGGAGCAGGTGAAGTAAGCCGTGCTTTAAGCATGCCAAGAGGCAGAAACACTGGAATGTAACAAAGACAAACTCACAATTTCAAAGACATTCAGTCAACATTCAAAACTATTAAGACTACACCACAAGAATTAAGTTGCTTTATATATATCCCATGATGTATTAGGTTTTATCAGAAAAAATGCTAAATCAGAGCTTACCTCAAAAGATAACTTAAATGGCTTCTGCAAATTCCTGTGCTATATACTACATATCTGAAATATAAATTAGGAAGAAAATAACCTCAAGGGGGAAAAATAAAACAAAAAATAAAACAAAAAACCCAACCCAATTTCAGGTTGCCAGTCCTATTAGTTTTATTTTCTATTTTATAATTAAATTCCCTACAAAAACAGGTCTGATGTCTACAAAATGGGCACAATTATGTTTCATGTTACAGATCTGCCTAACTGGAAACTAATTTCTCATCAGACAAGGACAATATTACTTTTAGTCAATATAGAATTATCAATTGCAAGTTCAGATGACTTTATAGAAGGTTGGTATGTAGTCATTTTACTGTGCTTAGAGAAGAATTTGATAATTTCATTCATTTTAACACACTTACTACTTATTTCAGAATATTAAAGTATCCCCCATATTGAACTCTAAAAGGTATTTAAAGCACTATAGGATATCATTATACTTTATGCATAAAAAGCTATTCTATTAATCTATTAAGAACTGGGATGCAAATTTTTAGTTCCCAGTGAAGCAATGGTACTAGAAAGCAAAATGCTACAGACCCTTCAAATCCAACTTACAATTAAAAAAAAAATTAGCATTATAAATCAAGTTCTACTGACTGAAATTTGCAAAGCCAAAGTATAGGAAAGAAGAAAGAATGTGTTAAAAAACAACAAAAACAAAAAAAAACAAACAAATAAAAAACCATACGCACAATAACAAAAACCTTTCTGCATGCTGCCATGCATTTGAAATTATCTGAAACAGTATTTATAAATTCACACGCACACAGCTCAAACTTCAGTGCAATGGCTGTATCATTCAACACTTTTAGAGAATAGAACCATGCAAAGAGGAGCGACTGCTTATAAAAATGGTTATTCAGTATTTATTCTGCAATGCAAAGGTGACAAACTAAAATATAAAAAGGCTGTTATGGCTTAACATTTTTGTTGCAGATTAAATATGCAGCATCGAAAAATGGAAAGGCGTGGCTTCATCTCTGACCAGCAGAGTTAAAAAGAAAAATCTCTCCATTTTCCTTCATCATCATGGGATACACTGTTCAGGCAATCCAAATTAATAAAGACTTGCACTTTCATATGGACACAAGATCAAGTGTACCAGTTAGGTTTTCACATTCACAGTATATAAGAAAATACACATGGAAAGAAAAGTAAAGGGTTAACTTAACAAGGATTTATTCACAGGAATACATGTAAGTAGAGAAAAATAACAGAAAAGCTAAACAAATGAAATGAAGAGGATCCAAATCAACTTTCACTCTGTAGCTTTTAACTTGCACCCTGTGTGCATATATCTAGGGCACAAAGGGCCACCAACATGCGCCAATACAGTGTAGGAACCCTGCGTTACGTCCATTAACTTAAACATATCTTTAAGATCATGCTTTGAACAAAAACAGAAAAAAAAAAAAGAAAAAGAAAAAAAAAGAAAAGAAAGCTTAGAAGGCATTATGTTGAGTGGGAATAAACATTGAAATATAGCAATCATTTTCAACTTCTACAATTGTTTTTATGTGCCAACTAACATTTATGCAGCCTTTTACAGATCTTTTACCATGTAATTTAAATTTTAGAAGTTTTGATAAAATCACTAGTAGTATATAACCATGCAGAAAGCACATCACACTGACAGCACAGAGGCAAAGATTTTGCACAGGTATATCAGCTTTCCACATTGTGCAGGTTACACACGATACAATATCAATCTTATTCCTAACAGATCCTAAAAAGGTATTTCAAGGCCTAGCTGTAAACTACAGTACTTTATATATCTATATTCTTAATTAAAAAATAAAATCCACAAATCTTAAAAAGGAATTTTAAATGCAGGGCTATATCGAATTGGTAAACTGCAACACAAACTGGCGCAACATAGGTAAATGAATATCGACCTCACTCTATGTGATGCAAGCATGCTACTTTCCCACTAGTTTAAATTACTTTCAATCACTATTGAGCCGGAATGCATGCCTGAACCTTAAACTGCACTTTAAAAGTAACATCTTGGCCTAGAAATTAAATCTAATGAAGTACAACCATCAAATTATATCCACTACATTAATGCTTTTAATGCAAAATTAAGATGTCATCTTTAGTTTGATATGCCCAACCCTTTATTCCTCCCTCCCTGCCCATCCCACAAAGGTAAAAGGAGTGACTCATTTGGCATTTCACAGGGTGCTTCATTGTTTAAATTAGTTTGTTTTATTTCCAATTTTTTTGGGGGGTACCTTAAATTGTAACTTCCAAGAACCTGCTTCTATGGGAAGGCAAGCTGATTTTACCTCTATTTGCTTCATTTGTGTAGTTCTCATCAGCATGCAAAAAAAGGCCCCACTATGTGGGAAAATTTATATAAAAACCTTAAATTAAAAACCAAAAATTCTTCTTTACTGTCTGTAACCCCCATTCTTAGGTTTCCTTTATTGTGCACTATATAATTTTTCCTTTCTTATCCCTATGCATTATTCATACGGTTCTTGTTTTGGTACAATTCCCCATAATATTCCAGAATGTACTGTTTTGTGAGTAGACTGAATATATATATATATATTTGTTTTTTGCTTCTTCACATCCAGTGCGGAGTAATTGGAGACAGATTTCCACCCACAAAGGCTCCAGATGTTAAAACGTTTCCAAACATCGACTTAATACAGTGACGGCAACACCTCCCTCCCGCCCCTCCCAGTAGGGTTGGGATTGTACTGTATTCCCTACTGGTTTACCCTTCCCCCCTGTAAAGGGTAACATTTTCCCTGGGTGCAGAGGCTCCCTCATAGTCTCCAAGACCAAAGGACCTGGAAGAAAAAGAACAAAAACAATTTTATTGTTAACAATAATTTCTTTTCAGGTTGGGGACAGCGGCACCTGCCTGTAGCCTCAGCAACTTCAGATACTGAGGTAGGAGGGGTTGGGGACTTGAAGCCAGTGTGGTCAACATAGGGAGACCCTGTCTGATAATACTGGCATGATGGTGCATGTCTGTGGTCCATGCTACTTGAGAGGCTGTGGCTGGAGGCTGTGACAGAGAGAGACCCAGTCTAAAAAACATAAAACAAAACCACCTCTACCCACATCCTACAGAAAAACTTCCATTAACCATTTTAATAAACAATGTTGGGTACGTGGTTGGTGCTCAGTAAAATATACAAGATTTCGAGAAAATGTTAGAAAAACAGAATTGAAAGATAAACATAAAAACATAAACTTTACTCAACATAAACCCTATCAAGTTCAAGACACTTGTGTGAACAAATCAGTCCATCATGGAGTCCATTCCTAAAGAACTTAGGGTTCTAGAAATTTAACATCAATGCAGTCTTTTTTACCTCAATAAATGAAAAATGGGTGTCTTTTAAAACAATTTTTTAGGATTAGAAAAGAAAAATAAGTCAGAAGGAGCCAAATCAAGACTGCGAAGTAGATGCCTAATGATTCCCCACTGAAACTTGCAAAATTTCATTTATTTGATGTGAGAAATGACCAAGAACACTGTCATGGTGAAGGACTCTGGTGAGGTTCTGAGCCTTTTTTCTGCTAATGCTTTGGCTAACTCTTCTCAAAATTCTCATAATAAGCAAATGTAGTGTTCTTTGGCCCTCCAGAAAGTCTACAAGCAAAATACTTCCCTAAACTTGACGCCTGCTTTGATCCTGACTGGGTTGTCTTTGCTCTGACTAGACAACTTCACCTCCTGGTAGTCCACTGCTTGGGTTATGCTTTCTCTTTAGCATCGTACAGGCTAAGTATCATTTCTTGCTGTATTTATTGGTAGGTTTGCTTCAGGAACCTGATCCCACTGATTTGGAATTTCCAATGAATGCTCTGCTCTTATTGGCAACTGATCTGGGTACAACAGTTTTGGCACTCAGAGTATAGTTTGCTCTACTTAAAAAAATTTCCATCAGAATTGTGTAATCTATGATGTTGGCTTTTGTTTTGGCTGTTAACTGTTGGTCCTCTTCAGTTAGGGCACAAAGACAACTAATTTTCTTGCAAATTGATGTGGATTGCCTGCTATTTTAGGTGTCATCTTCAACACTGTCTTGATGATCTTCTCATCTGTAAACTGATTTCTTTGGGGCACTGTACCTGTAAATTAGCTGTACAGTATCAATGATTTCACTGTTTTTCTACCCAAGCTTGTCCTTATCTTTGATGCTGTTCTTCAATTTTAGGTGAATTAATGTTGTTCTGAGGGGTTTACTCATTTCAAACTAATGTTTTTTTTTTCCTTCTTAGTGCCTCAAAACATCTCATTCAGACAGGTTTAAAGTAAGTAACTTTATTTGGGGGTGAGAGGGAAGTTGTTAAGTTTTTTTTGATAACATGTATCTTCGGACTCCTTGGATTTGAAGAATGAGTGTTAAATTATCATCTACCAAGACCTAGCGGTGGTCCCAGGTACACTTCTATATTCCAGGTATATGACCATGAGGAAGGGCCTGAGAGATGGAGTTGGAAGTGTGTGGATCATGGTATGAAACTCTGTTGAGGATACCTGTCTATTTTTTTCTCTTAAAAAATAAGGTTAAATGACAAAGTAAAGAACTACACAGGCTTAAACTTTGTGGAGGCCACTTAAGATATATTCTACTGACGATTTCAGATCATACTCTTAAATCTCAGTCACCCATCTTAGAAAACTTGTTATTTTCCTAAGTGGATAATGGGACATGGCACTACATGGCAAAATGTTTTCAAATCAGCATACTCTACTGATAAGTCAACGTCTTCTTTTAGGACCAAGTCAAGCCTTGTAGTACAGTGGTTAAATGCTGTGCATTGGGAACTTGATTCCACACAGGAGGCTACAATTTATATCCTGGCCCTGGTAGCCTGAAAAAAAGGCCAGGCACATGTGCATGCACGCCCAGGATCCTGACAGGATAAAGAAATGGTGAAAATAGGACTGCAATGCGATCTGGGGGTTATCTCTCTGAAAAGGGCATGTACCCTCTGGCAATAAAAACAAAAGACAAACAAAAAAAGATTTTTTACACCACCCTTTGTAAATGCTGATATCCTTTTGGAGGATAAAATTCTTTTGAAAGCAAGCAAGCAACAGGGCTAGTAGGTGGCTGGATCTCGCATAGCTGATTCAGTGGTTCATGTCCTAGATGCAGCGGCATGAAAATCACACTAGGTATGTGTAAGTGCCATGACCAAAATCCTCTGAGGAGAATGGAGAAGGGACTGAGGTGTGGCCATGCCCCCAGGGGGTGATTTCTCACTTTCGCTCTCTGCCTCAGTGCATAAGCACCAAGGCAAAAACTAAAACCATAGGAACAAAACCAAAAACAAATAAACAACAAAGGGTTAAAGCCATAATGAGAATCCAACCAGCATACCAATTTGCATTTCTTTCCACCTAGGATTCAGCATGGAGCCATTCCTTTTATCCTGCTTGCTTTTTCTTTAGTAAACAAAAATTCTCTAGCTTTTACTTAAATAATTTTAAATCTCAATATAGCATGATGTGAGACTATGTTTTATTCAACCCCTACAAAGTACAAATACCTTTTATTCTATTCAGTTTTAGTATGAAGTCCTAATAAATTTCTTAATCCTGAAAAATCCCGAAGTTCTTAATACTTACCCCTAATTTTGTAACTGCAGCTTAAGTGTATTATATTAAACACCGTAAAAAGCTGCAAGACGCTCTTTTAAAGGAAGAGGAAACTGGTCAGAGAAACGCCTCCAATTTTCATCCCCAACTTGATTTTTAAATCCATGAAGGATCTGCAAAAGGTGAAAAACCATTATTAATTTGTCAATAACAAAAAAGAAAAGCTCAGATCTACACAGCTGATGGAATCAAACACTAGGTCTTAAAAAATTACTTTTTGGTTTTACCCATTTTAAGATAGAAATTCTCAAATTTTCTTGGATTCTACACCATTATGCTTTTGTCTTAAAGCACCTCATAGCATATGCTTACTCTTTGAGGGGGTTAGGATATTACTGTTTTTGGCCCCTCAGCATGTGTCCCAGTAATGAGTGTAAGATAAGCAATCTCTTAAACTATACTGATGGAAAAACTATTAATAGTAACCTAGTTAGTATAGAATTCATCCAAGGAATGAAATTTTTCTGTCAAGTTTTTTCAAACTGCAAATACACAAGTTTTGGATTCCTGGCTGCAACTATATTTCACTAGTATTGATATGGGGTGATTAAAATGTACAATTATTTTTTACTTTCTTATTCTTTTTTTTGGGAGAGGTTTAGACAGAAAGTGAGAAATCACCCCCCAGGGGGATGGTCACGCCGCAATCCCTTCTCCTTCATTCTCCTCTCGGGATCTTGGGCACACACGCACACGTGCCCGGCGTGAGTTTTAAGCCACTGGGTCTGGGACGTGAACCGCGGTCGACTATGTGGGAGTCCAGTGACATAGCCATTACGCTAACTGCTGGTTCCCTACTTTTATTCTTATGACTGAGCATTGACTATGAAGTTAATCAAAAAGAGGTAATGACAATGCAAAGAACTACCTAGGCTTAATCCCTGTGGAGGGCACTTAAGATGTATTCTATGCAACAATTTCAGATCATACTCTAAATCTCAGTCACTCATCTTAGAAAACATATGACATTTTCCAAAAAATGAATAATGGGAACACATGAATCAGTGGCACTACTTGGGAACGTGTTTTCAAATTGGCATGCTCTATTGACAGAGTCAATGCCTTAGCTTAAGACCAAGTCAACTTCTTTACTAAGAACAAAGGTTATATAAAGTCCACCAAAACTGACTTAAAGAGCCTAAGTTTCACATGAAATGGAAAAATAACTTATCAACTAAGGTTTTAAACAGTCCCAAGATAATGCATGATAAAGATTACTTACCTTACAGAACATGTCTCTGAGATCATCTTTTGGGTTAATCCATGATGCAACAGCATCACAAAAAAATATAAAATCCTGTAAAAGCAAGAAACACATCTTAGATCATTGTATTTGTCGAACTCAGCAAAAGACATGTTCAGACAACTCAGAATTCATGTCATGAAAGAAACCTAACTAAAAAAGGGAAAATATTTAACATTAATTATTAAAAAAATCAATTATAATCATAAGGAGTTACATGATTACTTAACAGCTGTCTAGAACATTATTAACTCACTATTGGGGAATTGCAATATTCAGTTTACACTGGAACTGAAAGCTCTGCTGTATTTTACATTGCAAACAAAACAAAAACTGTGTCCAGTAACAGAAAGGGACTGAGGGACCAGCGGATGGCGTAATGGTTATGTCACTGTACTCCCATGTGGTCGACTGTGGGGACCTGGTGGCTTAAAACTTATACTGGGTGTGTGCCCAAAATCCCGGGAGGAAAAGGGATTGTAGTGTGGACATCCCTCATCCCCCCGGTGGGAGGAGTGATTTCTTAATTTCTCTCTCTCTGGCAAGCGCATGGACCCTGTAACAAAATCTCACTCCCTCTCTTTAAAAAAAAAAAAGAAGGGTCAGAAAGCATCAAGTCAACATCAAAGAAGACAGTACTTCAGGGCCAGCAGGTGGTGTGATGGGTAGGGTGTTGGATTCCCACATGGCTGTACACAGTTAGAGTCCTGGACCTGGTGGCTTTGCTTTCTCAAATAAAAAACAAATAAATAAAATTAAAACAAAAGAAAAAAAACAGCCCTTCATTTACTGGGTTAAAGAATCATATAAATTCAGTAACCTTATGATTCTGACTGGCCTAAAAAAACCTAACCCTAAACACATACTGAATGAACTTGAGTTGAAATATAGAATGGACCTAAGTTTCAAGACCCGCCTTCAGATAGAAATGTAAACGAAAGACCAAAAGTTAAAAGAAAAACTATACAGCTTATAACACCCAATCCAAAAAAACCCCAAAACCTCAACCATCAGATAATCACCTAAAAGTCAATCGGGTTATTCTGACTATAAAAACAAGGTGACAATATGCTTTAAGTATTTCATAAGAAATATTTCCTCAGTCTTGACGATCATACTGAAACACTGATAGTTCAAATTTTGATGTTCAACATATTGCCAGTGTTTCAAAAAGAATACTTTATATTTTACTTTTTTAAATTAAGAGAAAAACACTAACTTAAAAAAATCTCTTTATACTAAAGCATGTGAATAAAACACTTAAAATGCTATTTAAATTAATAGTTTCTTCAAATTATGATTCCTCATTTCTTCCAAACAGCAAAGTCTGATGTTAAAAATTTAAACACACAGATACTGAGAATTTGTTATTAAAAGTTTAAATGTTAAGAAAAAAACGTATAGGGACCAGCAGTTGGTGTTATGGCTATGTTGCTGGACTCGCATGTAGTCGACGGTGGTTTGAAGATTTCTCACTTTTTGTCTGTCTTTCTGGCGAGCGCATGCACCTTACAGCAAAAACCTCTTCAAAAAAAAAAAAAAAAAAAAAGACTTTTCCTTTTAACTATTTCAAATAAAGTACATAAATTAAAGTTAAAAAATACAAATTCTACCAAAAAAATAAAAATAAAATTTTGGTGAGAAGACACTTTTAAAAAATATGGCATATTGGCAGATATCTTTAAAACACATTTCAGATGACAATACATTCTTTTATTTGAGAGTTTTTTTTTTTTTTGGTTATTGGGCGTGTGTGCTCATCAGAAAGACGGGGAGAGACAGAAAGTGAGAAATCACCCCCCAGGGGGAATGGCCATGCCTCAATCCATTCTCCATTCTCCTCTCAGGATCTTGGGCATGCACACACACATGCCCGGTTTGAGTTTAAGCCACCGGGTCTGGGACTTGAATGGCGGTAGACTATATGGGAGTCCAGCGACGAAGCCATTACGCCATCTGCTGGTCCCAACAATACGTTCTTAATTACTGAAAAACAGATACGTCTAGGCTAGTTAGCAACTAGGGACCATCTCTCAAGACAATACTGGTTTTACTAGGAAGTTATTACTGTTAAATGCTTCTGAAGTTAGTTAAAAAGATTTTTTTCTGATTCTAATATATATATTTTTAATGTCCATCATGTACATCAATACAAATTTTATAAATGGATAATCCATGTTTCTAGACTGAGTTTATAGAAACTACAGTAACACAAAATAGGAAAAAATCTCAATTTAAAAATGTTTTAAGTCTTATTCTCTTGGATGTGAAAAGATTTCCATTTTTTTTTGAAAACATGAGAAAGTTATAGCTATGAAACATTTCTCTATTTTTATTACTCATGTGGGCATCCCTAGCCACCAAAATTTAATTTTGTAACCCTCCCTTTTCCCTGAACTTTTAAAATTTAATTTATTGTTGAGTCTCCTGTAATGACAGTTCCCTTATCATTCTTTCTTTTTTCCTTACAATTTTTCTCTGTTAAAGAACCTGGGTATTTAACCAAAAATCATGCAGTCTGCCTTTTGGTGATGTCATACACATGGTGAGTTCGACACATTCCTTTGTTTTATGTGCCTACCAAATAAAGCCTGTCATGATCAATACTTTTGCCAAATTATTAACAGGTTTAAATGTAACACAAATTTAGGAAACAATAAAGATAAACATAAGCTCTCAAAATTAAAGCAATTTAAGGGGTTGATTCCGTTTTGTTTTCATTCACTATTTCTAGGCTTGATTCTAAGTAACAGAAAGATAGTAGTACCCCACTATTCAGTCACTCTCTTATATTTTAAGATAGACAGCCTCGAACTCAGCAAATCGATATTCATAAATGGGAGGCATGCACAATATAAGTATATGAGATCTGAGCATGGGTGAGAGAAGCTCTAAACTAATTCTAAGACAAGTATTCTGCTATTATTTTATTTCATGCATGAAAGATTTAGAAGATAAAACCAGGCATTAACATTTTAAGATATTAAGAAATACACTGCATTTAAAATGTATAATTTCTTTTTAATATCTTTGAAAAAAATCATCGATATTTTTATAATTAAAGCCTTAAAATATCTCTCCCTTTAAAATTCTTACTATTCAGAACATTAAAAGTAAAAAAATCAAATCCTTGTGAGTATCTTACTTGGATTACACCACTGGGATTCACACTGATCATGGTACAAATCCCGCGGAATGCTGAATCCTTTTCCTCATTGTCTCTTATGTTCCTCAGAGAGGTGCACCTATAGAATTATAGAATCAAGTTTAGGGTGAAGTAAAACACCAGGCTCAATTACAACAGTAATGGACAGTATTTAATGGAATAAGCACCACAGTATAGATAATGGTTACATTAAAAATTTCCAAAAAGTATAAATTTCGGTTTTTCACACTCCCTGTATGTTGGGCCCATCTAATCTTAATAGAGTGGAAACAGTCAAATTCACATTTTAAAAATAATAAATTACATCTATAAAATGGAACAACTTATTTGAATCAATGGAACAATTTATTTGAATATCCCTTTAAACTATGAATGAGCCTAAGCTAAGAAAAGTTACCAAATTAATATTTAAAATTATATTATGACTTGTATTCCATTAAACACTACTAAAAATGTTTTGAATCCAAAGATTATCAATTGAAAGAAGCAGAACATAGGATATACTGCCACAATAAAAACTATTACTATACAATTTATGGTGTAGATGTTTAATTTTTACATTAACAAGCAAATAATATTTCTATACGTAACAAATTTAAACATGTAAATTTTAAATGCAATCCAAGTTTCCAAATTAATTCTAAAAAAAGAAACGTAATGCAAAAACCTAAATTTAAAGAATTTGCATGCATCTTTTTTCTCTGGTGGATATTTAAATGCTTTTTATGTATAATCAAGCTTTTAACACAGCAAGCATGTGACAATCTTATCCCATGCATCAATTAGTCGTTAGCCACAACATAAAATAAATATACATGACGATGCTACTGAAAAACCTCACAAACCTGATAGGACAAGATTAGTCACATGGTTGGCAATGATTAAGGATTGTGATTTTTGTAACCAACTGAAAATATATCTAGAAGTGAGATAGAGAAAGAAAGAGTGAAGAAAAATGAATTAAAAAAAAAAGATTGAATAATACACACCAGGGTCTTATAAACTGCTGTAGCATGGGGGCCACCTCTTGAGGACAAACGTAACCAAGACGACCAATTGTTATTGCTAAGGTAACGCAATCACGGTTATACACCACCAAACGCCAACCAAGACATGAGCAAATGAGGGGGAAGGAGAAAAAATAAAGAAAAAACAACAAATAACTCAGAAACAGAAACCAACAGAATTTGTGTATGATAATAAACATAAGATTTCACCAGTGCTGTTTATTACCACCCCCTAAAATAAGGGGCAGCAACATATATGGCATACTCTTGAAAAAAGAAAAATAAAAGGAATTAAAGAAAAAATAAAACAACTCTAAAGATTGAGAGAACACCAAAAACCATGATGAATTGCTTTTCTCGCTCAACCAAGTATTCTCTTAATAAAAAGATGAGCGATTAAATGGATGGATTTAGAATCCAAAGCCAGTCAAAATTTAAGAATTTAATAGTGAAATCTGTTTTTTCCCCAAGAAGTATCATTAAATGACTATGTTTCTGAATTGTCTGCTTAAACGCACTTTCATATAGCTAAAACAAGCTTATTTATCACTTCTTTACATCTTTTATAAATTATTTTCATTTTCTGAAAATTATGTAGGGAATTTAACCCAAATTTTGGTAGGTATCTTTGTTAACATTTCCCAAATAAACTAGTGGCATTTGTTGCCTGATATCAAACTTAACTCAGATTTTAAGTGTGATGGCACCCATTAAATGAATAGATTAGAAATTGTTATGCTACATCAAATCCCTTTCTGACAAACCTTGGATATGATAAGTCACATAATAAATAATCCATTAATTTTAAGTCATATTTGACATAACAAAATTGTAATGAAGGAAATTCAGAAAGTCCACTATTATGACCTCTGATATGTAAATGTGGACTATAGGAAAAAAGTTTATTGTCTTTGCTATAAAAGGCATAGGGTGAATTACGGTGACACATTATACTAATTGTACACTAACTTTTTCAAGTGGGCAAATACATATTTATCATCAAAATTTAGGAAGTCCTTAAACTGGTAACAAGCTAAAACAACTGCAACTTAGAACTGCATTTTGCAATTCAAAGGTACATACATATAAATACATTTATACACACGGGAAAAAAATACAAACAGAAAACAAACCATGAGGTACTTTAATGGTGTTCTCTCAAAAACTTACAGGTTAACCTTTCATAAAAAAAGGGTGGGGGGTAAAGAAAAATGTTTAAGGATTACTTGAAGCAAACTACACAGATAATACTAAAATCCAGCAGATTCATATGAAGCAAGAGAAAGAAAACCTATGTTCAAAAGACACAAACTATGCAACATTCTCATTAAACAGGCAAGTATGAACAATCCAATGAAACATGCGATAAAGCAGATAGGTGATGGTCCATTGACAAAGTTCAGTGTAGGATATACTAATAGGAAAAAAAAGCAAGTAACAGCATATAAGAAACTGGCTTTATGAAATATTGAGATAATGATAATTCAAAGTTACTAAAATGTACCGCTAAGAGCCAGAGACACTATTATTCTATTTTGGTGATTTAAAAACCCACTCTGTTGGGTAAGGAACAAAGAAAACAGTATTTTATGCAGCCACTTGTGATTGAGAGTAATCTAATGAATCCCAAGTGTGTTTCTCAACAATATCAATCCAATTCATCAACCTGTAGGTTATTATAAACTATTGTATTATTATTTACTTAGGATATAATCATACTTTGAATCTTATAAAGCCAATTTATTTAAAAAAAAAAAACTATGAATTTGCCAGTTGATATCCCACAAGAAACTTTAATATACATTACACTCAACATTTATTTGCAGTTATGCATTCACATTTAAAAATAAATAGGAAATTTCTTTAGGTTCAACAAAAATTTCATAATAATAATTGTTTCAAATCTGAATGTCATGTATAGGTACTGTATTCTAAAGTAAAAACCTGTCAAGATTGCATAACCATCCTATAGTTTGGTACATTTTTTTGATAAGACAATTTAATGAACTTTATGAAACAAACAGTACCCATACAGCCAAACAGCTAGACAACTCTTCCATAATTAAAAGATTTCCTTCCATACCAATAAACATTATTAATTTTAGTCACATTAAAATAAACTATAATTAAAAAACACCAAATTAAAAAATCTTTGAAAATATACTATGTGAACCTTACTTTAAGCTCTGTTCAGTATTTTGGTAAGACACTTATTAACTATGAATAAATTACTAGAAATATCTTAGTATATAAAGAAATGGATATGCCTGAATGAAAACAAAATTTAAGTATTTTATCATTATAAGCAACAATCAGGAAGGATAGAAAGAAGACTATCCAATCACCTCCAAATCTGTTCTATAGTATGGAAGGTACTCTTTAATATAAACATGCTCTCTGTAAATGCAAAAGAGAAACAAGCCTCCTATAAAAATGCCTTAAGAAACTGCTGAAGCTCCCAAATTGGAGGAAATTATATGATGAAATGCAAAATACATAGCCATTATATTAACCAATTAGCAATCTACTTTTGCAAATCTATTGCAATCTATTTTTGGCCTTTTTTAAAAAAATTTAACAGATTAAAAAAATTACTTCCCAGCTCTCAGTTACTCTCTGAATCCATTTAAAAGCAAAATCAATGTGATTCAATAGTTGGTTTGGCTGGGATCCATTTTAGGAAGAACTAAAACACTGAAATGGGGAGAAAGGTTTTTTTCAAAAGTTTCTGCAAACTTGTATATTTCATTACTAATACAAAATAGCTGTTAATAATGAGGTGGGTTCTTAAAACTTAGCTTTGCTTTGGTTTCTCTACGCATCTTAATTTAAACTTAAAAGAGGACTAATTTTCTCTTCACTGTAACAGTTCAGTCATGATGGTACCTGTATTCTCTAACAACGTCTTTGGTGTGTTGGGTCTGTTAATAATTTCTACAAGCTGGTGCAACACCATAGGAATATAAGGCTGCATCTCTATACCTAGATCATCCAAAAAGAAAAAAAGAAGAAAAAAAAAAACTGAATGTTAAAATATCAATGTAAAATATAGTTTCCCTTATTAACTGTAACATATCCTATAAACATATAGAAACAAAATTAAAAAAACATTAAGTATAAAAATATCAGGGCACCTAAAAAATGTGTAATTGCAAAGCGGAGAAAAGTCTTACCCATTTGAATGGAGATTTCTCCAATTGCCCATGTGGCATTGTTGCACACTGAAATAAATTCTGGATTTAGGTTGGTTCCCAATATTGGCATGAAATCGGCTAGAAAAAAAAAATTATTTTAACTACATAGCAAACTACTCAATAGCAGTGTAGTGTACTAAAGGAAATGTACTAAATGGAATCTTAAATCTAAGCAAGGAATAACAAGTTTTACCATTAAACAAACACTGTAACATCAATTAAAAATTGATGAGAAAACAGGTTACTGCTTTTAAAAATAGCTTTATATTTTAAAAGTTTCTTTTTTCCATGAGGGAAGAGACACAGAAGGAAAGAGAAATATCGATAGGAACCCTCAACCTCAGCTAGCCTAGACCGTGGACATGTATTTGTGTGTACATAGGAAAGCCTTGGGATGCAAACCTGGAATCTTCCCATGTGGGTTCAGCATAGTAGACTGCTGCATTAAGGTTGTGCCACTGGTTGGCCCCTAAAAATAGTTTTATAAGTGTTGGTAATTTTGAGTCTAGCAGGTGGCATGGTGGTTGAAGTGCTGGACTCTCAAATGGATGACTGCAATTCGAGTCCCAGACTTGGAGGCTTGGGATAACGCTGGGTGCAGGTGCATGCATGCCCCAAATCCCAAAAGAACAGACTGCGGTGTGGCCATCCTCTCCAGGGGGTGATTTCTCACTTTCTGTCTCTCCAGCAAGTAGACGCGCCGTATAGCAAAAAAAGGGAAAAAAAAAAACACTGAAAAATTCTCTTAAAAAAAAGTGCTGGTATAATATTTATCTTAAGACTCAAACAAAGGCAGTATCTGTTCACTTAACTTTCATATGTAGTAGACAAGGAAATAGGACTGGTATATTTTAAGTAATATTAAAAAGAGTTGGTCAGAGTAATCTGTTTTATGATCAGAATATGAAGAGTCAAATTAAAAGGGGAGAAACATGATAAAATAGAATCTTCTTCAAAGCTAGTTTTCACACACAAAAATTAAAAAACAACCAACCAATGATTTTGGCTTTAATTAAAGCAACTTCCAACCCTACTGCTCAGACTGTGGTCTTTAAAATACAATTTTCCACTAAAAGGAACGAAGGCTTTTGAATAAATGCCCATTACAAAATAAGGAAATGTACAAAACAAGTTTAAACAATTATCCTGCCTCTCCTATATGATTTGTACCTCAGTTATAATTTATTGATACTAGAAATGTCTTGTTATATAACTATCCTCACTATTAAATGAAGAATTAAAATGTTAAAAATTGGGGCTGGCAGGTAGCATAGTGGTTAAGGGGCTGGAATGTCCATAGGGTTCGAGTCCTGGACTTGGCAGCTCGCCCTCTCACTTTCCCTTCCTCTCCCTGTCTCTAGTAAAATTTAAAAAAAGACAAACTAAACTGAATTGACCATTTTTTTTTCTTTTTTTTTGAGAGGTCTTTGCTATAGAGAGCATGCGCTCACCAGAAAGAGACAGAAAATGAGAAATCACCCCCTGGGGGGATGGCCACATGGCAATCCCTTCTCCTCCATTCTCTCGGGATCTTGGGCATGCATGCACACGTGCCCAGCATGAGTTTAAGCCACCAGGTCTGGAACTCGAACCATGGTCGACTACATGGGAGTCCAGTGACATAGCCATTATGCTAACTGGTCCCTAAATAGATCATTTTTAAAAAGTTACAATATTTAAAAATTTCCAATAAACGAGTGAACGGGAGCCAGGGTTTCTCCCTATTGCCATTATTAACAGTTTGGGCTAGAACATGTTTTGTTGTGGGATAAGAGAGACTACTACGTACATTATAGAACATTTAGCAACTTCCTTTGCCTCTACCTAAGAGATACCCCCAGCAATGTTAAACAAAGTGTCTCCAGACTCTAGCATATGTTCCCTTGAAGGCATATTTCTTCATAGTTGAAACCACTAATCTAGACAAGTAATTATGGTTGACAACATATAAAAAGAGACAACTAGATGCTGTATATTTTCTTTAAGAACGTACATGACACCACCTATCAAAAAACACAAAGCAACATGAATCCCATTAAAACTAAGACTTAGATGTGGGGACCAGCAGGTGGCATGGTGGTTAAGGTGCTGGACACTCCCACATGGCTGACCAGGGTTTGAGTCCCAAACCTGGGGGCTTGCTTTCTCACTTTCTCTCTCTGGCTGATCAAACTGGAAACTAATAATAATAAAAAAGTTAAATAAAATAATTCTTAAAAAAAAAAAAAACAAAACCAAAAAACTAAGACTTAGATCTAACTGCCTATTTATAGCAAGTACAAAGGACAGAGGAACATACTGACACCAGAGATGTAAACAATAAAATTCATGCATGAGAAAATGCTTTGAAACAAAAAAATTGACTTTATAACAAAAAACTATTTTAAGGAAAAGAAGAGAGCTGTACTAAAATACTAGTTAAAATGATATTATCTGGGGACCAGCAGTTAGCCTAATGGCTATGTCGCTGGACTCTCACTTAGTCAACCGCGGTTCGAGTCTCGGACCCGGTGGCTTTAACTCACGCCTGGCCC